CCGGTTAGCTCAATTGGTTAGAGCGCCGGATTGTGTTGTGCGGGAGGTCGAGGGTTCGAGCCCCGGCCGGACCAATACTCATGGTCTTAAAATAACTGAGGAGAATTTGCTACCTTTCTATAATATCAAGAAATGGATAGATATTCTAGTCTTCTCGGATAAGGACGAATAAACCGTAGGCCCCGTCTCCTGCAGGGTTAGGGGTAGGAGACGTTAATTTCCCACGCACGAGATTACTGTGTGGTGGATGTCCTCCCCTGGGGTGGGATGGGTGGGTTTACTGGGCCTGCAGTAATTGGCGCGAGCTGTTTCGGTGTCCCTGCCTGTCGGCGAATCTAATAAATAAATTAAATTGAAGTGAGAAAGTATTCAATTTAAAATAAGTGTAAAGTCGATATACTGTGACACCTACAATATTTTTGGATGTCCATTTAGTGTTGTGTTCACTGTAGGCGTTTTATTTTCACGAAAAATTGCATGTACGTTAGATACACATATAATAAAATAGTATTAATTGCCTTCACTGAAAGGCGTGAGGCATTTTCCCCGCTGTTTTTGACACCAGGCTAAGAAATTAAATTCAGAACGTCGTCCTTTGCCATATCCACAGGAACTGGTTGCTGTTGGTTACGACGCAGTCCAGATTATCCAAAAAGCAGGAAACTCAGAGCCTTGTTTGTCTATCAATGGGTCCGTATTTGGCTCCAAAGATGCGAACGCAATGTTAACATGCATAAGAAAGGTGAAAATAATTTCCACTTTTAAATACCTCTGTTTTATTTTCCTGTTTTCGTTTGCATATTATTGTTTTGTTTTGTTTTGTTTTTTGTTGTTGTTGTTGTTGTTGATGTTGTTTTTTTTGCCTTGTTATTCAAGGAAAAAGTTTGGAATATTTTCCCAAAAATGAGTGCGTTTAAGTTAGATTTATTGAAATCCTGTTTGTAAAAATTAACAGGTCATTCTTCATGGTGTGACAGGACTTCTTCAATTTAATGAGAATGGTGAAAGGGTGGGAGTTCAACTGGAAATCTTAAATCTGCGTAACAATTCCTTCAAGAAGGTGGGTGTCATAGGCTACCAATCGGTTTTCTAATATATATATATATATAAAGTTGGTTGGCCTGAGAGTTCCACTAACGACTTGCTATATATATATTTATAGATATGTAGACTTGAATTAGGTCAAAACCATATATATGTAATGCAAGAGTGAGGTTGTTCGGACATTTACCCGCTACTCTGAGTTTCATGCTTCATGCGAAGCAATCATCAGGCGACTGCCAGAAATAACGGGTACAATAGTTGGTAAGTGTGCTGCGTGAAGTGTCACGCGGGATCGTCATCACTAAAAAGAAAACATTTTTTAGAAGAAATTTCATAGCGTGTCTGCAACCCGATGCGAGCTCACTTCTGCTGTTGAGATTTGACATTTCTGGCCTGCATAATATGAAAAATTTCTCCCACAAACACAAGTTACATCTCTTAGATTCATTCGAATAGGACTTTACACCATTTGATTTCATACTCAATTTTCTGCTCATTTAGGCTCCATATGTACTTACTAAGTTCCGTAGCATGTTTGCACCGCTCATTATCGAAAGAAGATGTATGGTTTCTGTCGCTTATTGATAAAAATTTCCCTAAATCTAACCTCCTCCCTAAAATTTTTAACCGTAACACATTAAAACTAAGCTACAGCTGCATGTGTAAGTAAGCAAATAAGTAAAACCTTTATTTAGACCTGACAAGTATTGAAGCTGTGCAACTTGTGAGGTCGTAATCCTACCGAACTTAGTAAGTACATATGGAGCCTAAATGATCAGAAAATTGAGTATGAAACCAAGTAGGGTAAAGTTAAACAAGCTAGGTCCTATTCGAATGTATCTAAGAAATGTAACTTGTGTTTGTGGGGAAAATTTTTCATATTATGCAGATTAGAAATGTCAACTCTCAACAACAGAAATGAGCTCGCAGTGCGTTGCAGCCACGCTACGAAATTTCTACTAAAAAATGTTCTTTTTTTAGCGATGACGATCCCGCGTGACAATTCCCACAACGCACTTAGTATCTATCGTGTATTGTTCTGTAATCTCAAATATGTCTGATTGTAACCGTTATTTCTGGCAGTCGCCTGATGATTACTTCGCATGAAGTATCAAACTCAAAGTAGCGAATAAATGACCGAATAACCTCACTCTTGCATTATAATTATTGCTCTACTTCTACTATTGAGCACTTTTAAGTCGATGAGGATTTCAACCCATTCCTTGATCACATATATATATATATATATACATCTGAACCTGTTTAGAAAAGTAAAGAACCACTATAAAAGTCTCATGAACCGAAGGTTCTCGAAAAGCAAAGCTGCACGTTTTAGTGCCCTCTTGATGGAGCATTTCTTTATACTGAGTAGCTGCTCAAAGGATTTTTCAAATAACTTAAAGATTTATTCACTCTTTCACGGAAAAATAGAAACTATTTTAGGACTTAACCTCTTTGGCGTCACACCGGAGCTTTGCATCCGTATTTCGTTTTTAGATAGGTACGTGGAATTCGACCAACGGTGCAGTGATGACAGGAAATATCCAAAATAACATGGATAACCCGCTATCAAAAACTACTCTGGAGGGAAGAAAGCTTCGAGTTGTCGTTGTACTGGTAATGGGCCTCAACTGAGATGTCTTATAATAAGTTCGATATAATTTTCTGAACGCAGATGGAGTCTAGGCTTAGGAGATGGAAGAAAAGTGCCTTTTGTGGTCGAAAATCCACCGTAATGTGATGCGGATTCATTTTCAAGTGTCCCGCTTGATTTACAAGCGTGGCTCAGAAAAACAGGAAGTGAACCTAGTAGAACAAAAATAAATCGATCAACAGGAATTCCTGATGAACTTGATCTGAAGCGTAGCTTTTGCTATAATCTACTTGAAAACAATCTCCTTTGATCATTTATGAAAGAAATATTTGGCTACGTGGCAGAATTTGAAATACCAACTTCGAAATGTATAATGGTTAATCTGTTATTATTATGCCACCAGGACGCTCCATTCGCTATGAAAAGGAGAAAGGAAGATGGCGAAGTTTTCTACGAAGGGTACTGTATTGATCTTCTAATTGAGCTTGCAGGAAAACTGAAATTTACCTATGAGCTTTACACTTCCCCTGACGGGAAGTATGGAGCTGAAAATGAGAACGGAACTTGGAATGGAGTCATCAATGAGATTTTAAATGAGGTACGTTACTCAACTCCATAGCATATTTTGTTGATAGGTCAAATTATTGGACAGCAAGTGCATTCGATAAAAAGCTAGAATTACTGTGGTGTAACAGTGCCATCGCTGATACATTGCCACGGTACAGTAATTAACGTTCGTGCAAGAACAGCTAGTAATATACTCAGTTTGTGAGATCGCAAATCTGTTGTGCAGAGAATACAAGGATGCAAGGACGCAAGGATTTTCTTTTGAATAAAGATCTGTGTGAGCTATGAGGTTAAAATTAATCTTCCAAGAATTTTATTTTTATTATTATTATTAATTTTCCTAAAGCGAGCGGATATGGCGATTCCCGCACTCACTATAACTGAAAGGCGAGAGAAAGTCGTGGATTTCAGCTTCCCCTTTATGCACTTCACTACAGATATATTATTGAGGAAGCCATCGTTCAAAGAAAAAATTGACCTTTCGCAGTTTATGGCTCCGTTTGATAATCAAGTTTGGTTCGCTACCTCGGCCACCTTGATAATCATCTCCGTTGCTGTGTTTGTATTAAACTTCTACAGTCCTTATGGATATAAAGATGATAATGACCGAGGCACATCAAAAGAGTTCAGCTTCTTCAACAGTGTGTGGTTTGCTTTAGCTTGTATGCTGCAACAGGGGGGAGATAATACACCAAAGAGCCTATCAGGTGAAGTGTACCAGTGAATGTATCCGATAAAGGAGTTGATTTTGCGAATTCTTGTCATAATAACCATGGACTGCTTGCATTGAACAACAGTTTTCCATAAGTCATTCGTACGTTTCTGTGTAATGTGCCGTTCTATGACAGTGGTTGGGGCGGGCCATTTCGGTTTGAATTTCATTGCACCAGCCATTAGACAGACAGTATTCGTTAAAACCAAACACTAAGCTCAATGATTTTATTCCCAATTATCCTCAGGTCGGATACTTGTTGGTTGTTATTGGTTCTGCATATTGATCTGGGTCTCGACGTACACTGCCAACCTGGCAGCTTTTTTCACTGTAAAAAAGGCCGAGCATCCAATAAATAACATTGAAGACCTTGTGAAATCGTCTTATTCGGTAGCAGTGCTTGATTCATCTAGTACCTCAGAGTGCTTAAAGCTCAGTGGCTACGAAACGCACAAAAAGATCTGGCGAAAAATAGAATCGGAAGGTACTCTTGCTGATAATGTAACACAGGGTGTTGAGTGGGTGAGAGAAAAAGAGGATTTTGCGCTCATAACCGAGGGGCCGTTACTCAAAGAAATTGCTGGCAAGCCACCGTGCGATTTAACAGTTGGTAAATATTACAACACTGAATTTTTTATTAGTCAAAATATGCAAGCTTTTGTAGTTTATGAGCAAGAATAAACAACAGTGTAAAGGCTCTACTCTTTACTTGCGCTCAGGCATTCATTTTGTCAAACTATTGATCGAGTCGATAATAAATCACATATCAATGATCAGTATACAAAAAGACATCAGAGAATCTGTAGACCAAACAAGGTATATACACCGACCCAGCACCACGGTTTCTTTAGAAACGTTCACCCTTTATTCATATTCATATAGACCAAACAGTCGTCTATTTATGATCAGAGGAATACCCCAGATTGGATGTTTCCTTTTGCGTGACAGCAACTCACTTTATTTTTCAGTACCAGGTTTCAGCATGACTAAAGGACACGCACTGGCCTTTCACGCCAACGATCCCCATGTGAATGAATTCAGTCTTGCTATTTTGCGTTTACAAGAAAACGATTTCCTCGCTAACTTGAAACGGATATGGTGGGGAAGCAGAAACGACTGTCCAGTTGAAGAAGAAACATGTATGTTACTTTTTGAAATGATATACCTCTGCTCTTCGGATGTCAAAGGGAGCCATTCCTGCAAAGTGTGTTTTAAGGCTCTTTTGGCCCCAAAAACTAAGGATGAAAGTAATAATACTAATAAAACGATAATAGTAATTGCATCAATAAAAATATCAAACCACGGAAGTTAAGTTTTTGAACAAGTTTTGTGTATTGAATCTCAAAGCGATCTTCGCAGTGATGATGTGTGTTCGAAGTCATTATCACGAAAATATAGGACGACATTGAAATTACGAATTTCAAGATACG